ATTTGAGTCCTAATGGTGGTGGAGAACCCAAAGGAGAGTTGCTGGAAGCTATCAAACGTGACTTTGGTTCTTTTGACAAGTTTAAGGAGAAGCTGACAACTGTCTGTGCTGGTGTCCAGGGCTCAGGTTGGGGTTGGCTSGGTTTCAATAAGGAGCAGGGACGCTTGCAGATTGCTGCCTGTGCTAATCAGGATCCATTGCAAGGAACAACAGGTTAGATTTAAAAACTGCTACTTATTTCCTTTGGGAGATGTGGTTTATGTAGGCATGTAACTAGGAATAAGGAAAACTAACAGTGTTTAAACTTACCATGAATATATAATAGTTTAAACAAATCTTATACCCAGAGTCTTGAGTAGGTAAAAAATGCTCCAAGAGTCTGCTGTTTTGTAAAATATCAGATGTAAATTTTGTAGATACACTAACAATCATTTTAATCTAGATCCTACTTTGTTCTACAGAGAATCAGTATTAGTTTAATTACTTATATGCACTAAAATAAAAAACTGTAACTAGATGACAAGAGGGAAGCTCAAGTGGAGCAAGGCCCACATCTTTTCCAGTGCTCTCCCCTTTGCCAGAACTTTTGGTTAGGCTGAGGCGAGAACTCGAGTTTCCACACTCTACCTATCTGCTGGTCTTGGTATGTGTAAGTATTTGACTTGGAAACTCTGGGCTGGACTCGGCAAATCCATTTTTTCTGTTGAGTCTAACTGAATTGGTAACCCCAAATAACATGTCACCGGAGAGGATAGGATACAGAGTCAGAAGTCATAGGCAGTCAGCTGGGGCTCTAAGCTGTGATGGAATGAATTTTACCTGATTTCTGAACATTAAGCAGCGGTAGTTCTCTGCCACATCCCCCCTTGCACTCACCCGACTCACTTCCCTGACACACGCTCAGATTTTGCTGGAATCTAAACAGTTCTTTTGGAAAAGTCCCAAAAGAATCAAAGAGTTGTGAGCCTGAAGGTTGCAGAGTCTGGTGCAGCTCAGGGTGCCTGTTGGGAAGATTGGTTTCTGTGGATCTGAGCACAATGCTTCTTTCTCTCCTGCTTGGAGAAAGCCCATCGGATGATAAGGCATGACTTTTTACATATTGGGAAAAATCATGAAATTTTTTTGCTGCTTTTTTAATGATAAATTGATAGCAACACATCTCACAACTRGTCAAGACATACTGTTGAGAATTATTTTGGTAGAAGAGTTTGAGAGTTTTTTTTCCTTTTTAATTTGGTGCCTATGGTTGTATCTAATGGTGGGATTTGTTAACATATTCATACATGCACATAGTATAATAATATAATTTGGCCAATATATTCCCCAGTATTTTCCCTTTCCTCCTCCCTCCTTGGATCTCTTCCTCTATTGATCTCCCTTCAATTGCCGTGAGATCCCCCCATCTTTCTTTTCCTTCTTCCTCTCTAGCTTTTAGATCTGAGAGAAAACATATGACCCTTGACCCTTCTGAGTTTGGCTTATTTCGTTTAATATAAGGTTCTCAAGTTTCATCTATTTTCCTGTAAATGATAATTTTTTTTATGACTGAATAAAACTCCATTTATTTATATGTTTATTTTTAGTTGTAGGTGGACACAATACCTTTATTTTTTATTTATTTATTTATTTTTTTGGTGGAATCTTGGGGAATACCTTTATTTTATTTATTTATATGTGGTGCTGAGGATCAAATCCAGGGCCTCACACATACTAGGCGAGCACTACTGCTGAGCCACAACCCCAGTCCCCATTTTTTGTATATACCACATTTTATTTATCCATTGATGGACACCTAGGCTGGTTCCTAGTTTGTCTGTTGTGGACTGTGCTGCTACAAACATGGACGTGCCTGTGTCTTTTTTTATGGATAGAACTGAGTGCTTCATTTACCTTATTTGATTTCTGAAAATAGTATGTTGTCTTCTTCAGTCCTTTTCCTTGTAAACTTGCTCTTTTATTAGTGCCTCATAACTGGTGTTTACTCCCTAAGACTAGAGTTAGCTTTGGGGAGCAGAGCAGGTTTCTCATAAGCACCCAAGTTCTCATGCCTTTTGGAAGAGACAACAAAGCCTCAACYATATCCCCGCCCCGAGACATAGCACATCCTTACTGTGGCATCTGAGACCACTGTGAGGAAGGCTGGGGACTGGTTGGTTCTTCTATGAATCTGTTGGTATTTTAAAAACAGCTATTAAAGTATGGTAGTTACTTGATTTTCCCAAGTCTTTTTTTTTTTTTTTTTTTAATTGAGATTGAACTCGGGACTGTGCTACTTCTAGACTATGTCCCCAGCAGTTTTCATTTTGAGACAGGGTCTTGCTAAGTTGCCCAGGCTGGGTTCAAACTTGAGATTTTTCTGCCTCAGCCTCCCAAGTAGCTGGGATTCAATTCTAATTCAATAWTTTTTTTCAATTTATCACATTTTCTTCTGAAGTAAAGTTTAAAATCTTTTATTTATAGGAATATTCTTACACAAAAAATAAGAAACAGCGAGGCACAGTGGTGCATGCCTGTAATCCCAGCAGCTCAGGAGGCTGAGGCAGGAGGATCGTGAGTTCAAAGCCAGCCTCAGCAACAGTGAGGCACTAAGCAACTCAGTGAGACCCTGTCTCTAAATAAAATTTAAAAAAGGGCTGGAGACATGGCTCAGTGGTTGAGTTCCCCCAAGTTCTGGTACCCCCCTCCCCCCAAAAGAAAGAAAGAAAGAAAGAATAAACAAATAGGTAAAATTGTTGTAAATGGTATTTTTGTGTGCATAGAATAATAAAATTTAAATTGAGAAGCTATAATGTTTTAGATTGAAATTGAAAGATTTTTTTCTTTTTTCTCTTCTTTCTGGTAGGTCTTATCCCACTGCTGGGGATTGATGTATGGGAGCATGCTTATTATCTTCAGTATAAAAATGTCAGACCTGATTATCTAAAAGCTATTTGGAATGTAATCAACTGGGAGAATGTAACTGAAAGGTACATGGCGTGCAAAAAGTAAAACATCATCATTATATTGAGTATGTTAAACTCCTTATGACTATTTTTGTAGTAGAGTACTGCAGTA